TTCCAAAGATACCAGTGCACCAAACGTACAGGGAACACCTACGATGTGGCAAGCAGTGTGCTAGGCCTTCAGGCTGAGAGATGAAGAAAAGGAGGCCCTTGACTTCAAGGAGCCCTGAGTCCTATGTCTGGTTCTAAAGCTGTCACTGTAATTTAATGGCTTCTTTAGCTGTATTTTTTTTTCTCTTTTTCCTTGATAAGTTTTATTTTTTTTCATGAAATAGGATATTACAATCGTAAGTAATTTGTACAAGACCTTCCTGGGTTTACCCAGACGAGGCGGGGCCTCAGTAAAGCTCTCGTTCGTCGTAGGTGCAACATCGCGGTGATCCTTCTGACCGACCTGGTCATCGACCACAGTGTGAAGGTCGAGTGGGGGAGCTACCTCCATCTTCTTCTTCATGCAATTTTTATAGGTGAGAGACGCTGGTTCCACTGCCGTCCTTTATATTTTTAGCATTTCAAGGCAGTATGACTTGAAGTTTTTGTGTATTTCTGGCTCCTGTTTTCTGTGTGTTATTGTCATGGATTTGCACTGAGACCCCTGGTCCAGTGAGATCATTCCCAGCCTCTCTAACCGTGCCGTTGCCGTCGCTGTCGCTGCCCCCAGCCCTCCTGCTCTGTGTCGCACGTGTACGCCCTACCAGGGAGCGTCCTGGCGCACGGGCGGCAGGAGGGAAATTAATCCGTCTCTGGGCCTGGAAACTTTCACAGCGAATGGAAGAAGGAAATGGGTTCCAAGTGTTCCTCAAACGAGCGGGATTGTCAAAAAGCCTGATTATTACACTTAAAACTCCACCCCGAGGGAACCAGCAGTTAGCGTAATGGCTATGTCACTGGACTCCCACGTAGTCGACCGCGGTTCGTGTCCCGGACCCGGTGGCTTAAAACTCACGCCGGGCGCGTGTGCGTGCGTGCCCAAGATCCCGAGAGGAGAATGGAGGAGAAGGGATTGCAGCGTGACCATCCCCCCTGGGGGGTGATTTCTCGCTTTCTGTCTCTATGTCTCTCTCTGTCTGTCTGGCGAGCGCACGCGCCCTACAGTGAAAATCTCTCCAAAAAAACACCTCCACCCTGACAAACTGCAGGGTCTGTCCTGTCTGTAACACCTTTAATGTTTACGGGATTGGCTTCCTGAAGCCAGTCAAGCCAGAAAGCTGTCATCTGCACGGTCTCCTGACAGGCTCGCTTTCTGTGTGTGTTAGTTCATACATACGTTCTAGGCACCAAAAAAGCCTACCTTTTTGAGAAATCCACTTCTATCTAGTACGTAACAGTAATTGTTTCTAAGCAGTCGCTACGTTTTAGCCATGGGGTGTATTTAAGCCTTGACTCTCCCTAGTTCTGTGGGACAGTAGGCTGTTACACAGGTACGCGAAATCTGTAGGCGAAGAACTATGTAATGCATCTCTTCCAAAAATCTTCTATATCATTTCTCTTTTTCTTTAGAATATGAGCCTGGTCACAAGAATACTCCCTTTCTCCTCCCCGGTGACGGTTTTCCACTGTTCTTCCTAGGGTTTGACCACTGCCACCCTGAGGTGTACGAACACTGCAAACGCCTGCTTCTGCACTTGCTCATCGTCACGGGACCCAGCAGCAACATCCGCACTGTAGCCTCAGTCCTTCTCAGGAACAAGGAGTTCAACGAGCCCAGGGTGCTCACGGTCAGACAAACCGCACACTCAGATTACACGCTCGCAGGTGCGCGCTCTGGACATCCCAATAGAGCAGATGGTATTTTGTTAGCAGAGAATCCTGTACTGTAAAAAGTCCACTCGGTCAAAGTCAAAATCCTAGAGGACGTGTCATAGAAATGGAGTTGTAGGGACCAGCCGATGGCATAAATTTTCATCCCTGGACTCCTGAGTAGTCGACCGCAGTTTGAGTTCCAGACCCGGGTGGCTTAAAACTCACACCGGGCACATGTGCACGCGTGCCCAAAATCCCAAGAAGAGAATGGAGGAGAAGGGCTTGTGGAATGGCCATCCCTGCCAGGAATGATTTCTCACTCTCTTTCCATCTCTCTGGTGAATGCACATGCCCTATAGCAAGTCTGTCTTAAAAGGAGCAGTTTGATTTTAAGTACTATTTATATTGCTTATTAATGAGTGCCTGGAATAGCTGCATCTGAGTTGTCTTTAAGGCTGTCCGTCACACAGATGTGCTGAGTGTGAAGGTTGAGTAGTCAGTGAGCAGCACTTAGTTTATTCATCACTCCTCCTGAACGAGGGTGCCCTCGAGCGAGAGTCCTCCCCCTTGTGTATCTGGAACTTGACAAAGAAGAAAGTAAACGTTTTTTTTAAATTCTCTTCATTAATACATTGAAAATGTTACACATTTTGAAATAGTGAGGTCCAAATTAATGATGCTTACAAAATTTATTTCACAGTCAATGTTAATTTGCTTTTTTTTTTTGGTTGTAAGTTTCCTAATAACTCTAATTTATTTATTTTATTTATCAGTACCATTACACTAAATCATTAATGATCTAAAAGACAATCATTATTTTTTAGAGATTGAGTAAAGATGATTTGCTCCCTAATTATCTAGAGTCAGGTACAGGGTTAATGAATTTAAAAGTTCTTTTGTTAAAACCCTGTTATTTACTTAAAATCCAAAGTTAGTAAGGACACAATTATTAGGAATCTTGTTATCCTTTTAAAACAATGATTAAATGAAACATGGACTAAAATTTACAGTCGTTTTTGTTAAAAGCACCTTTATTTAAAATTACAGTTTACTTTTAAGGATCCTTTTGCTATTTTGTAAATATGGACGTTAGTAATAATCGTTCGGTGTTTAGTAACTGAACTGCTGTAGATATTCCATATAGACTTAAAAATAGTCCATCTCTAAGTAAAATAAATCAGGCATTATGGAGTCCTTTCCATAAGAAATGAAGAAGTCATTCACATTGTTGGAATGTGATTAATAAATGTTGAGAAAAAGAGCCAGAATATTATGAACCTGCGACTTCCAGCCTTCCACAGCAGATGGCAGCAGGTGTCTGCGCAGTAGTTAGCTGTTTGCTACATTTTAATAAGCTGCGAAAACGACCTTCGCCCCACACTCCCTGCAGCTTGCTGCTTGGGGCTCCACAGGAGCCCACATCAGCTCACACTGGACTTCCTCATGCGTCCCACACGGCCGTAAAGGAGCCAGAGTTTAATGTGTTAAGTGTTTTGTGTGATTCTTTTATGACTGAACATTCATGATGGTCTTCCTCTTCCAGCAGGCATTAACGATTTTGTACCTGATTACCAGCCCTCCCCTATGACCGACTCAGGGCTTAGCTCAAGTTCTACCTCTTCTAGTATCAGCTTAGGAAACAACAGCATGGCCATGTCACACCTGCACACCACCGTCCTCAGCGAGGTGGACATCTCAGGAGAGCAGGATGGGAAAGTCAAAACCCTCATGGAATTTATCACCTCCAGGTAACTCGCCGGCTCTCAGCATTCCCGGCAGCGTTCGGCTCAAGTCCCTCTTCCCTTGGTCGGCTCTTAGAAAACGTTTTCATTTTTATTTTTGTTTTCTGAAATGCTGCTCCTTTGCAGTACACAGCTGGGTATTGTCTGATATTTTGAAAATTACAGCACAACCAGCGTGTTTGCATTTGTGCAGTTTTACCTGCAAAGAGCCTTCCTCATACCTGGATCCTGAAAGCCCAAGGAGAACGCAGCGTTATCCGAACGCACGTCGCGCTTTCATTAGCCGCAGTATCAGTCCCTCCTGTATCTCTGTGTGTTCTCCTCTTTGCAAGGCTGGGCTGCAGAGGCATTTTACAGAAAGCATCAGCCCCGTGTTGGGTGGTCAGCAAAGACATGGCACGTGTTTGCGTAAACATAGGCGGTGTGTCATGACTCCCGACAGCCTGATGATATCCCGCCCCTGCTTGCCTGTGGTGTTAGCTGGTAACTGATTTTCATTTCTCTTCCACAGTAAATTGGATTATTTGCAAGGTAACCTGATACAGTTTAGCCTTTGTGAATGTTTCTTCGGCATGTAACACATAAATAGGGTAGGATGTAACTCTTGGCAAAATGTATCATGTTTTGCCTACTACTGCTGAGAGAGGTTGACTGCAGTGACGAGAAACGTGGAAAATAAGTCATTGTTGGGCCTGCTCGATGCCCTGGTTGTTAAGGCAGCCAGATCCTAGATGGTCTACTATGCGGTTCGAGTCCCAGACCTGGTAGCTTGAGAAACACGCCAGGTGTATGGGCATGTATGTGTCCCAGAATGCCAAAAGGAGGACGAGATGGAGAAGGGAGTACAGCCTGGCCACACCCCACGTAGGGGTGTTCTCCTGTCCTTCTTTGTCTCTGGAAAGTATATGTGCCCTTCAGTACCCCACACACAAGAAAGAAAGAGGGGGGGGGGATGGACGGAGGGAGGAAAGACAGATCTTCATCTGCATGTGGTAGACCGTACATGTCCGTGTGCCGACCTATTTTCCCATGTAGAAGTGTGCCGTGACTCTCCGGCACATAGCACGCATCGTGAGGGTGGACGGTGACCTGCCGTTCGCTTTATTCAGCTACTGTGCTTCCAGACGGTAACAGTGGGTTTAGGCCGATGAGGGAACTGTTGCTGTAAGTTAAAGGGAATTCCATCTGTTCTGTTTTCAGGAAAAGAGGGCCCCTTTGGAACCATGAGGATGTTTCTGCCAAGAACCCCAGCATCAAGAGCGCCGAACAGCTCACTACGTTCTTGAAATACGTGGTTTCTGTTTTTAAGCAGTCGAGCTCAGGTACTTCCTAGTAAATATTTCGGTTACTATTAGATGTTACGGAGGCATTTTAATGTGGCCTGAAAATTTCCAGTGATATCCACTTAGAAAAAAGTTACCAGTTGCTATGTCTAAAAGTTTTAGGTGGGTCGTCGTCTTTAAAGGTCTCTGCCACGGCCTCATGTGCTTGCCAGGGAAAGAAGGAGGATGGCCACGCCGTCTAGCCCCTTCTCCTCCATTCTCCTCTTGGGGTTTTGGACACACATGTGTATGCACCCGGTGTGAATTTCAAGCTGCCAAGCCCAGGACTCACTGGGAGTCCAGCACCTTAACCACCATGCTGTCTGCTGGCCCCCTATGTTTTTTTAACTTATTAATGATAACAGATGTGTCTTGGATGAAGGAAAACTGAGTGACTGCTCAAGAGTACGAGTATTACCTATGTGGGCCCAGAAGACGGTGTGGTAGTTAAGGGGCTGAATCCCACAGCTGACAATGCGGTGTGAGTCCTGAACCCAGCAGCTTGAAAACACTGGTTGCCTGGGACTGCCCCCTCTCTGTTTCTCTCTGGCAAGTGCATGCAGCCTATTGCAAAAACCTTTAAAAAAAGAAAAAAGAAAGAAAAGAAAAGGAAAAGGAAAAGAAAGAAAAAAGGGAAAAAAAAGAATATTGCCTTTACAATTCTGGACATCTTAGCATTTCGTATGATAGAATCATAAAATTACAGTGCAGTTGTGTCTGTGTAAAGCACTGTACTAGGGGAACGATGTAGACGTGACAGACTAAAAAAGTTCTTTTTCCTACAGTTAAGGCCACTCTGGTCTCAGATGCTGAGAGTCCCAGTACAAATGAGGGTCTAGAGGCGTTTTTGCAGCTGAGCTGATTGTGCCCCTCGTGTTAAGCACTGTCTGCAGACACGTGTCACAGTTCACAGGATGGAGGCACGAGGGGCGGCCACCTGTAGGTAGTGGGGAGGGCTCGGCGATCCCGCTGGGGAGCATGCGCTGCCCCAGGCGGCCCTTCCAACAAAGAGCAGCTCACCCAAAATGCGAGTGGTGAAAGTTGGATCCCCCTTTTCAAGGACTGCTTCTCTAGATTAGAAGGCAGAGTTACCAAAAATGCAAACAGAGTTTAGTCAAAGACAAAGCGTCAACCTGGAAACTGCGTGCCTGTCAGGCTTCCCAGGTCGTGTGCTGGGTGCTGGTTTAGACCAGCGAGCGCCGGATTCTCACCCCGAGGGCACTTGTTCGTTCTGTTCTCTTCGCAGAAGGAGTTCATCTGGAGCGGCATCTTAGCGAAGTCGCTCTGCAAACAGCACTTTCGTGTTCTTCGCGACACTATGCTGGGAGGTCCTTCCAGATTTTCAGGGCCCTAAAGCAGCCTCTTACTGCAGCTTCACTTTCCGACGTCCTCTCCAGGCTTGTCGAGACTGTGGGGGACCCAGGGGAAGAAGCACAGGTACGTCATGGCGCTCCTTCAGCAGCTATCAAGCATCTCCTGGCTGTCAGGGACTTACTGCCGTAGGGGTGGCTGCAGCTAGACCGAGCGGACGGCCGTGGAGAGTGAGTGATGTCCAATGAGGAGGAGCAGGCCAGGAATTAACAAAGTTGTTTTGTAACTAGCATTTAATAACCTGCTAACTAATACATCAAATAGTCTAGCACCTATCCATGAAAGCTTGACACACAGACCTTTAAATATTACCCTGGAAGTTGGGCCAGCAGGTGGCATGGTGGTTAAAGCGTTAGACTCTCACTTAGCTGACCATGATTTTGAGTCCAGGATCTGGCAGCTTGCTTTCTCACCTTCCCCCACTCCCCACCTCTCTCTGGTGAGTGCACATACCCTGTAGCAAATTAAAACATAATAAATAAGTAAAATTGGGACCAGCAGTTAGTGTAACGGCTATGTTGCTGGACTCCCATGTGGTTGACTGTGGTTTGCATCCTGGACCCCATAGCTTAAAACTCACACCAGTGGAGGAGAAGGGATTGCGGTGTGGCCACCCCCACCCCCGGGGGGGTGATTTCTCACTTTCTGTCTCTCCGTCTCCCTCTGTCTTCCTGCCGAGTGCACATGCCCTATAGCAAAAAAAAAAAAAAAAAAAAAAAAAAAAAAAAAAAAAAACACCTCCAATAAAAAAAATTTTAAAAAATGAAATTATTTTTTTTTTGAGAGATTTTTGCTATAGGGAGCCTGCTCACCAGACAGGCAGAGAGAGACAGAGAGATAGAAAGCGAGAAATCCACCCCCCAGGGGGATGGCCACGCCGCAATCCCTTCTCCTCCTCTCGGGATCTTGGGCACACACGCACATGCGCCCGGCGTGAATTTAAGCCACCAGGTCCGGGACGTGAACTGCAGTCGACGACATGGGAGTCCAGCGACATAGCCATTATGCTAACTGCTGGTCCCAATGATTAATGTTTTTAAAAAAGATTGGAAGTTAAATTTAAATGTAAAATGGACACTGAATTCCATATGCAAAGATTAAGTGGGTCAGCTGGTGGCGTGGTGGGTAAGGTGGCTGACTCCCATATTGCCGCCTATACTGTTCAATTCCCAGACCCAGCAGCTTTAAGAAAGAACATGCCGGGTGCATGTGTGTGCATGCCCAAAATCGCAAAAGAAGAACGGAGGAGAAGGGGTTTTATTAGCACCATTCTAGTCAGGAGGGACAGCGGTGAACCAGACCAAGCTCCTGGCATTTTGGAGTTCATATTCCATGGGGGGAAAAGAGACCTTTAATCTACCAATAGTATGTCATACGATTTATTTAGTGGTAAATGCTGTGAAAATAACAAGGTAAAGGGTAAAGAGCAGTGGGAGGGAAGCGTACACATGACAGCCCGAGCAGGCAGCTTTCAGTGCCCACGGGATGAAGCGAGCCCGTGATGTCCCAGGCAAGAGCGTTTCAGGCAGGGGGAAGTAGAACAGCAAGTGCCAAGGCCCTTGGGCAGCATCATGAGGCTTTTTGGAGTCGCATCAGAAACACCGCGGCAGGGAATGGCGGGCACCCATGGCGTGAACCCAGTAGGCCTGCAGAGTGGTGGAGTGGATGGGAGGCCGCCCAGAGGTTTGGAGGGAAGGGGGTGGTGGGTGTGAGTCGCTTTCTTGAGGGGGATGAGAGAAAGTGCAACGTCACCCCCGGGGCATGGCTATCCCTCAGTCCCTTCTTTCTCTTCTCGGGATTTTGGGTGCACCTGCACACATGCCTGGCGTGACTCGAACCATGGAATTGTCTATATGGGATCCAGCGCCTTATCCTCCATGGCACTTGCTGGCCCTGTGATTTGCTTTGCAGAAAGCTTGCTCTGTCATGTGAGTAGTTTTTAGGGCGGGCAGGAGTGGAAGTAAGAGC